ACACCCCCCGTTTTCTACTAAACCCAATCGATTCACAGCTAAACGGCTTAAGTGTCTTCCTCAAAATTTCCCTTGGTACAGCGACTCCGACGCCGCCCCAAGCACCGCTGCCAGGAACACCACAACTCCACTGTAAAATTTCAATGAGACGCAACGCTTTTATTGCTTCATGAAAATTTCGTAAGTTGGCATTTTGGATGCGCTTCAACAACAGTAACAATAACAATTTTACCAGCAATAATCGTCCATATCAAATGGCGGTTGTAGTTGTTGTTGGTGGTGCTGATAATCATGTGATTGTTGAGTTTCACGTCTTGCATTTGTAATTGGCTTTATTGTAGTTGGAAATTCGGCTGGTCTTGTCATGACTGTCGTTGCTGTTGCTGTTGTTGATTGCTTGCTTAATGCATTTAATTTTAAACTCGTAAATAAATGAAATATTGTGTATGAATTAAAGTTATTGTCGTAGGAGCAAACACGTTGAGATTATGGTGTGGCAATAAATGCCGCCTGAGATACTCTACACTTGGTAGTGACGAACTTTTTTTCTACACGAATGGACACCGCAGAATAAGCCGCATATAAGTTAGAGAATGCTTTTAAAACTATTTGTGTATTTAAAAAATCCGGATTGAAGATGAAACTACATGCGTAGTGCACAGTCAAGTGTTTTTTTTCAAAAAGACGTGTACGCCACTCGTAGAACCAATTATAGATACAATTACGAATACAAACAGTGCTTCTTAAAAATGGCCGTGTCAACGAGAAAAATCAAGGCACCGAGCTTATCCACGGTTGAAAAAAACCCACAGCAATGGTACACTGCAAGTGCTGTCGCATCCACTAACACTAATACTACAAATATTACAAAATCGGAACGAACCAATAGGCCTAAATGCCAGCGCCGTCGATACTGTGTACTACAGTAGTAAACTCAGGTCTAGACGCTGGTCCGCAGTAAAGTCAAATTTCCCACGCAACCAGCGGAAATCTTAGAGATGCTGGAAGAGTTGGAATTTCAGTGAGCCCACAAAAGCAATAGGTATAACAAGGAACGCTAAGCTGCACAGTGGGGAAAAACTGCCTGTTGGTCTAGAATACCTAAATGATCAGAGATTACCTTGATCCTTAAACTGAACAAAATAAGACCATAAGTACGGGTTTTCTAAATATCTCGAGTCCAGCGCCACTTGGCAGCTAAACTTGCAAACTTATTTCTTATCGCGCGGGTAAAATACATACATAGTACCAAGTTTGAACGAAATCGGTCAATAAATACAAAATTTTTAAATATCTCGACTCCAGCGCCACCTAGCGAACCAAAAAAAAAATCAGTTAACAAAAACAACAAATAAAATGGGGTCGGTTTAGTAGTTTTTGAACCCAAGCATTACAAACATTCCCCATATAATCAATTTTATATAATTAAATAGTATAGAAAATTACAAAAACTTTTTTTAACACTAAAATCGATATTATTTCGATTTATGACTTATTTTCAGACTCATTTAGTGTATGGATTGAGATTCCCATGAGTAGTCCTTTTCAAGAAGTGAAACACCGAAATTCGGTATATTAAATGAATTAATAATGAGCGCAAGAGCTCCGAGATAGCACCCCTTAATGACTCACGAATGATTATAAATTCTTCACATCTAATTCCATTTCATAGTAATCGCATCTAATAAATAACACAGCTTGATCTCATACTTGTAGCGCTCGTAGTTGGTTGATCAGCAAAACTTCATCTTCATCAGCCATTTCGGATCTCCGTTCGCCAAACAACCTCCACCCCCCCTCATATCAGCTATCCAGTAATAGGCGAGACGACGACGACACGATGACGACACGACACGCATGTAATCACCTCATTGTAAACGACGCAATCGTAAGTCAAATTGCATGCAACCGCTGCTGTTGTTGTTGTTCTTTATAGCAGTGGTATAGCAGTAAATGAGGTTGCGTTTGATGCAACACCGCAGCGCCTTGTTTCGCCCCTTTTATGACACGCTAATGTAGCTACTTTGGTTTCATACAAAAGGCATTGAAACTGACATACACTAAGTCATATAACTTCCCATTCCAAAAAGTTGGGAAAATGGTGTCACTATTTCTGTTGTTGTAGTAGTAGTTGGTTTGGTTAATACCGTTATTTTGATGCTATTATAGACGTTTTATATGTAGTATGTAAGCACGTTAATATTAGTGCATAATTGTTGTTATTTGTTGTGGTCCAGCTGGCTCATCAAGCAGCCATTTGTACATTCATCGTTCGCTCGTCCGCGCGTCCGTTCGTCCGTTCGCAGCTTGCTTAACTATGCGTGAGCTGAAGTGATGGCTTAATTGGAAGTTTTCATTGTTTCAAATTATTTATTGATTTATGCATAAATATTTGTTATGTATTTATGTATTTCATCGTCGACAAAGCTAAGGCAAGCACCAGCAACAGCGGCAACAGGCACAAATACTAATATAGCCAGCAAAGTCAATAACAAAAGCTGTATTTGTGACACATAAAAATTCGATGCGTTGAGAAGTTTGTTGTAGCGTAGCAGCTTAGTGGCTGTTTTTTTAAGCCTCATCTTGTTGTCGGTACGTTTATTACTTGTTTACCTCCACTACTCTTCCTCATCTTCACTCCTTTCAGCTGGGTAAGTTTATGACTTCATCCCAGCAATGCCCAGCAATGCAGTCGCTTTTTAAATAGTAATATATTTGCTACTCAATTGTTGTTGCTACCCATTATTTTTGTTTATACCGTTTGTGTTCTTGTTGCTGATGCTGTTGCTTTTGGCCATTGCAATTTGTCTAACGGTTACGCAAACGCCGTCGAATTCACATAAAATCTCATTCAACTTAGCCAACGTTTTAGTCTTCGTAGGCCAGTCAGTGGTAGTTCCCGTGGCCAACTACTCAACCGAAACTCCACATTTTATTTAGCCACAATTCACATCAGCTCATAGCGTCTACGCCTTCATCACTTTGCTTAGCCACAATTCACCGCTACTTTTGATTTCTTCTAGCATTTACACTTAGCAATAGTGCGAGTATTACTCACTTCAATTCCTCATACTCAACATACATGCATACATACATACATATATAGCATGCAAATAAATCAACAATTTCAAGCCAGATCGCAAGTTCGAGTTGAAGTTGCGGTGAATGGGCTGTAAATACTTTTGAGATTTATGTTCTGTTTTGTTGGACTTTATTATTGTTGCGGTTGTTCTTGACGATGTTGTTGCCTTAGAGGTTTATGTGGCCTCTTACATACGTAGTTCTTTTTTCTAATCTAGAAAATCCCAGCACAATCTGTTTTTGTACCTTTCTTGTGCATCTGTTATTTTTTCAATTAATGAACTTCACCTTGGTAAGTGCTAAAATTCCAACATGGAGATGAAATGAAGCACGGGTGTTAAATATTCCTGTATTCATTGTAGCTTAGAAATACATACCCACCTACATACATACACATCTCTGCCGTTCAACTAAAGTAACCTAAGTAGGGATCGACCCCTTTCCACTTTTTTCAACATTTCATTGGGTGCCCAAACAATAGTTAATACTTTGCCATTTAACTAGCCATAGGTGTAGTTTAAAATGACCTTATAATAGCAGCTTAATAAAAATATAAAAATTTTTTAATTCAAGGTCAAACCTTCTAAAGTCACTTAAGCTACTTTAATTGATCGGCACAGATATGTATCTAGGCATGAATGCAGTTCAGTGTGATCAGTAATACCAATTTGTTATCTAGAAGCATAGACAGACGGCAGCGTTGATCTGGATCAAGTACTGCAGCTAATCTTTAAAGTTAATCGAATAACAGAAATTTTCGATGACAACACTGATCAAATAATGCAAGCGAACTTGGTGTCCGCGGTTGCCGTGTGGTGAGAGCTGCATACTACATTTCGGTAGGGCCCATGAAATACAATTTTTATTTTTATTTTATTTTATTTTGATTTATTTTATTTTTATTTGTTTACTGGCGCCATTGCGCTAAAATGTTGCCAATTAGAGTATCAGCGTCAGTAGCGCAACACTGCGCTGCGTCACCCAGCACACTAACTATTAAATAGGTTGAACCAATCCACTTATCATTAATTAAATTCGCAAGCGCCACGGCGAAACTCGCTTCTCACAAAATGAGCTCCAAGGCGAATTCATTTTGGTAACACCACTTTATAAGAATTCGCATTAATGAGCTCCGTTTTTTCCTGCTCTTTGAAACGCAGTCTGCAATGCCCAAAATTTTCAACAAAAAAATGCTACCTAAATCATACAAGAAAATTTTCTAATCAATTTTATAAACGTTCAATGTGTGAAATCCTGCTTTGAAACTGAAATTCGAGTTTTTATCCCATTATATGCTAGGGGTATGTTTCCGTTATGGGGATAACGCTAAAAATAATAAGTAACAAAAATGTATTTGTTTATTTTAGTAATAAAAAAAAAAAACAGTTTAAACCGGAGGAAAAACTGTAACCTTTGTAATACTTTCAGTTACGGCGCAGAAATGAGCCCAAATTGGCTTACTGTTTTGATTAGTCGAAAATTGAAAAATAGAGAAATACGTCAAAATATGTAAATAATTGATTAACACAAAATCCTCATTGAACTCAAAACTTCAAACTACACCATTTCCAGTTGTAAATGAGAAAGCGTCAAATGAAATTGCGAAAGCGTCATTTGGAAATGAGAATAGTCAATTGTAAATGCGATATCGTCATTTGAAATTGAGAATAGTCAATTGTAAATGAGAAAAGGTCAATAGTAAATGAGAAAGCGTCATTTGTAATTGAGAGTAGTCAATTATAAATGAGAAAGCGTCAAATGAAAATGCGAAATCGTCTTTTGGAATTGAGAATAGTCAATTGTAAATGAGAAAGCGTCATTTGTAATTGAGAATAGTCAATTGTAAATGAGAAAGCGTCAATTGAAAATGAGAATAGTAAATTGTAAATGAGAAAGCGTCAAATGAAAATTCGAAAGCGTCATTTGGAAATGAGAAACTCGTTTTTATTCAGAAATTATTTAGATGTTATTAAAAATGCAAGTTTATTATGTCCCAACTTGCATATCTTGTAAAGATAAAGCATTTCCATGGAAAGATGTTGCGTGCTGAAATACTCTCGCGCAGTCTCCTCCGAGGATTATAGTTTTCGCGTCATCCACCAAATTCTCCAAATATTGCAGCCGTTGTTCAACAATGTTTGGCCCATTTATGACTGGGTTTGAGATATGCCCCTTTACATGCATTTTGATTTTTCCCCAGATTATTTCAATGGGGTTTAGCATGGGGGAATATGGCGCTAAACGCAGCACTTTATTAATGAAATGTCCAAGTAATTTATATATATGCATATTTTTAACATACTTGATTTATATACTTTTTAATCGTAAAGTAGTTCTTCCGCCAGTGTAAAACAACTGAGACTTCCCGGCGAAAATAAAACCGAAGAGTGTTCTCTATCGAGCTACATACATTGATCCGAGACATACCGTAATGGTTTAAACAGATTCAAGAAGGTCATGATGAACTACATACATACATTTATATGTATATAAGTAATTCGTGAAGGTTTTTCGGAATTCGACCGGCATCGTTTTCATCCGAATATTGGCCAGCTTTATTTTCCTGTTCTTATCTATGTACATACTCTAATATGACGTAGCTTACAAACAGCAAAGATGAAGATCATAACCTTCTGAAAACTTAAAAATTCCGTTTTCAAACGCGTTTTATAGCGACATAATTGATTAAGTATTATCAGTGATAAGCGAATTTAAATCATCTATTATATATGCAGTACGCAATTAATTTACTTTTATTTCTCATTTCCAAATGACGCTTTCGCATTTTCATT